GTCTGGAAAAATCTCTGGAAGCGAGGTGATAATTTACTTTGAGGCTGGACAAGACAGGTGAGGAAAGTTCAGTGGAACAGCTTTGTGAAGGTCTGACTTTCACACTAGCCAGAGCAGGAAACGTTTCAAACTCAGGACCTAAACCCCTGCTAATCTTTATGGCCTGGTGGCAGAATGCAACATACCAGGGCTCTGCTCGGGAGCTGTGAGCCAGTGTTCCTGCAGTGCTAGATATCCCATGTTCACATGTTAAATGAACTTGAAATTGCTGAGTGTAGAGGCAAGCTATGCCACGACAGCTCAGGTTTAAACTGTCCATGTGGATGTGTTTATTAACAGTTGTGGATAGCGTTCTGCCTCTTCCTTCACTTCCTTTTCTTCTTACTTTTAAAACCTGAGGACTGCACAAGAACGTCAAGTCTCTGGCTGTTTAAGAGACCATGTGATGACTCTGTACTTTGAACTCAGATAAACTTCTTACTGAATGAAGTCATGTGTAAAACGCTTTCCAGCAGAGATTATTTTGAACCAAGCTGTACTAAGAAATGCAACAGAATTTCAACACTCATATTTCAACAGCAAAAAAAGGAACCATTCTTGTCCTGAGTGCGGTGATTTGGAGGGAAGCACCAGATCCCCTCACATAAACAGAACTACAATTGTACTAGACTGTGGAAGTAGATCATGGTTCAGTTTGTCAAATAACAAAAAAAAAAATCATACATCCATATAATTGCACGTCAGAAAAAAAAGCTTTTGCCTAATCAATGGGTGCAATTTTTCTTCCAAAAAACATCTTCATACATCACAGTATCCCAAGACTAAGGCAATAAAACCAGTATCAAGTCCAAATTGGCCACGCTGGGATGGATCAGCATTTCTGCCTGCTTTTTAGCCTGAAGACGTATCAGGTTTTACCTATTTTTTGGATGAAAAAAAAAAAAATCACAGCCCTGATGATTATGCCTTTTTTTCCCTAGGAGCAGAACATGTGGTTCATATCCTGGCTAAATTCCAACCTGAGTAATTACATCCTGGCCACATAAGTTTCCCCTGCGGTTTTAACTGGATAGAGTGTTCCTTGCCCGTTCCTCCTGTGAATGTTTATACCTTGTTGTGGAGCACTATTAAACAGCTACTGCCCCCTGCCCCAAAGATGGCTGCACTTTACTTCTTAAAGTAATAACCATATTCCTGTCCCCTCCAAATACAGTTGGGTGGGACAAGTTTGTAATTATAATTTTAAAAATAACTGGGGAGGGACATGAATCTATTAACATGTGGTTTGGGTTCCTAACCGTATCCATTAAGATATGATCTTGAGTATCAGGACGATGTTTTCATGCAGTGAAATTGAGATATGAAGATAGTATTTTTCTTAACAACTTTAAGTGTTAAAAGACCTACTCTCAGCTTCACACAGTGTATTTAATACTGAGCATTTCTTCTGAGCATATGGAACAACCTATAACCTCACAAAGGGCCATGTGCTTAAGAAAAATTAACATTAGAGAAAACATGGGCAAGCTTTCTGCTCAAAAATATGGAACAACAAGACAAAGCAATAGAATAGTTTGGCTATCTGGCTTTTACAACAGGCATTGGCTATTTTGATCAGTGTGTTTCATTTGAAAGATAAAGAAAATGAAACAGAATGACCCATACACAACACCACAGTCCACCACCTATCTTGAAGATCTCAAACCGTTTTACAACTGGTTAGTGCCAACAGGAGGCAGCGGAGATCAGGAGAGCCATCTTATAACCAGCTACAGAGCCAAACTAGGTACCTGGTAAGGGAAAAATCTTCCTCCTCCCCAGTCAGGATTGCAAACACTGAAATCAAGTTGAAAATTACCATAAGGGAGAAGTTATTTTGCATACCTTCATTTTTTATGTCCCAGCTTGAAACCGTCTGAACTCCGAATTTCTAACTTATATAAACTATGAACTTCAGCTAAAGTCTGCAGCATTTACTACCTCTGCACGTGCAGCAACATCGCTGTGACAAATTAGGCACCCTGAAAGTCAGAAGCCCCTTTAACTGTTAAATTTCCCCTGTGTGGGATCTAAGTGACACTAAGCAGCAGAAATTCCAGCAAGAGAGCCATTTAGACCCGTCTATATTTTAACCTCTTGGTCAGATTTATAAAATACTTTGAAGATGACAAATGCTACCAAGCCATTCAGAATTACTTAGTAAAAATTGTGCACGGGAATGAATTTTTTTCTGCAAGGGAGCTGAATGATGAGTGCTTAATCCACAGCATTTAAGAGATCTTGTGTAACACATTTGTGCCTTTTTCTCTACTTTAGAAAATATAATGCAAAAAAAAAGGAAAAAAATCAACAACTTTCCGCTTTCTCCTCAGCCAGCAATGGGTTCATTCTGAGAACATGACAAGCAGTCAGCTTTCTTCCAGTTTCCCCAACTTGCATTTTTTGTGGTGCACCCCCAAAATGATCGCTTATGGGACTGATGTACACGGGAAAGTCTCTGCCATTTAAATTCAGTTTCGTTGGGATTCTGCTCCCTGGCCTTCTCTGCCCGTGAGAGCTGGCAGAGGACTCGGCTCGGTGGGAAGGCTGGGGCCGGCAGAGGCGGGGAGAGCAGCCCTTGTCCCTGCAAAGCCCAGCCAGCTCCCGGGGACAGCGCTGGCGAAGGAGCCAAAAGCTGGTGGCACAAACGCACTCGGGTTGTGGGATAATTCATCCAGCTGGGAACTTTGGGATTTGACTCCCGTCCTGCAAAGATGTGACACAAGTAACTAAGACGACTGACTGTTGGCTGGGTTTTGGTCAGGCCAAACCACCAAAGGCACAAACGAAAAAAGGTAAGTTTTAGAGGGACATAGAAAATTTTAAAGGGAGTTCAAGCACAAGCAGGCGGTACGTGTGTGGTGTCCAACATTGCCATCGTGCGGCCACTCCGGCTCCGCAAAGTCACCAGCAGTGACACACGGAGTTGGAACCTTGCCCCACATGTGCGGCTTTTTTAATTATCTTTAATAATACTGGCAACCTACAGGAGAACTGGCGAGGGGGTGATAACTGTCTCCTAAAACCCTTCAACAAGGAAAACCACTTCTTTCTTCAGACCTGCTCTTTTTTATATCAGGTACCAAGCCCAATTTTCATTTTCCGAGACACACCGCTGCCACAACTGTGTTGCAATGCACAGTAGAGAGTACAATTGAACATCAGAACTGTACAGAAACATCAAAAATGACAAATGGAGCATTGCTGATGTCAGGAAGCCAATCTTTACAAGTAATCTGCACAAGAACAGCACAATGGCCCAGCTCAGGAAAGAGCTCCAGCATAGGAAAATACATGGAAGTTGGCATAGAGTCAGGAGTGGAAAACAAAGCAAATAGATCAAGTTTGTAATTTAAGAAGAAGAAAATGAAACACCTACAGTCAGAGAGCAAAACAATGTGGAATGCAGAAGCAAGCTGTTAAAAAATACTCAGATAGAAAACTTGTACACAGTCAGAAAAGCAGTAATGGAATTAAACCAGCCCCAGGGATGATGAGTGGCTCACTTAGAGCAGGAGTGAAAATAATAATAATTACCTACCTGAGTCCAAAGTTGTTCAACTAACACTAAACTTATGTTTGCACTCATCTGGAAGCCTGCCCAAGCAAAGCAGGCATGATTTAGCTTACCCACCTGTACTGGTTTGACCCTGGCTGGCAGCCAGGTACCCACACAGCTGCTCTCTCACCCCTCCTTCTCCGCTAGACCAGGGGAGAAAATATTTCAAAGGGCTCAAGGTTTGAGATAAGGACAGGGAGATCACTTTCATTTACTGTCCTGGGCAAAACCAGACTCGATTTGGGGGAAATCAATTACATTTATTAAGAGAACAAATCAGGGAGGAGTAGTGAGAAATAAGAAAAAGCAAACAGATCTTAAAAAGCAAACTCAGGAAGCTTCTAGCAGCTTCTTGCAGAAGCTACCCTGCAGTTCCCCCCCTGCCGCCAAAATCTGGCCAGGCAACCCAATACACCTGAGTTACAGTCTCAGTGAGGGACACACACAAACTTAAAGAAGGGAGAGTCTTGCTGCCTGCACAGAAGAGCAGAAGTACACCAGGAGCTTTCTGCCCAGCGGCACAGCAGGCAGTTACACACAGAAGTAACAATCACTTGGAAACAAATTCAGTAACCTATTCCTTAGAACGACATTCATCCTTCAGCTGTAAAAACCTTCCATGAAAACAGCACTAAAGAAACAAAGGAAACTTAATCACTCAGGATAGGAAACGAGTATCGACAGGCAAAGAGCAGAAGCATAACTGCCACGAGTAGCTGGTCCTAAGAAAGAAAATCCTGTTTGTGTTCTTGTCTCCTAGCACTTGGCACCTGCAAACACCTCGAGGAGCCTGCCTGCCGTCACCATTACAACTGGAGCAAAGCTACCCCGCTGGGGAAGGATCCTTCCACAGCTGACCTGCCAAAACTGACGAAGCAATAGTAATTTGCTTGTTCACTGTATAATTTTGAAAAGAAAGCTTGCTAAAACTGGAAACTCTGAACCAATCCTCAAAAGCCAGTGAAGGAAAGCAGGTAATTACCCCGAGCTGGAGCTGCTGAGATGGTAATTCTATCTTTTTTGTTTTGGTGGTGTTTACTTGTTTGTTATGCCAGATTGCATAAGGCTTGTCTGCTAATCAATTCCTGAAAAGCATGGCTGTTTTTATTATGCAGTTTCTCCTGTCTAGGATAAGAGGGCAGAAGCCAGAGAAATATTTTTCACTTGTGTTTTTGGAGAAAAACTTTGCTGGTGAAAACAAAAAATGTTCCCAGGCTGCAAGAGGGCTTTGTTCTCTACATTGTCACTCAAGTTTCTGTATATTGTTACCAGTTTCTGTACATTTTTCAAGAGACTATTCCCTGCGAAACAAATTGAAGGGTTGAATTAAAACATTTACTTCCTTTTTCATTCAGGACTGTCAACTATATAGCACATAAACAGGGAGATTTTTCAACAGAACATGAATCTAGGAGAGAAAACAGCTTTTCAAGAATATCTGACAAACCAGGGGACTGTGGTAAAGCCCTATTGCTGGCAGAGACAGAACCACCTCTGTGCTAAATGTCCCTACCACATACGGACTGGCGAAGAAGCGAGAGTCTGCTACGCAGAATTTCACAGGGTCTTTGGCATCCCATACAGATCAACAGCAACTCTCCGAAACAAACACCTTCTCTTCTATGAACTGAGGAGTTTCTCAGGCAGAGTAGTCCAAAAAGGCCATGCTACAAACTGTACTGAGCAAGACAACCATCCAGAATCTATGCTGTTTGAGGCGGGCGGTTACCTGGATGCCGTTACAGACGCCTATGAAAATATCAGATGCATCATCCTCTATTCAAATTACTCTCCTTGTAATGAGGCTCAGCACCGCTGCGTAAGTAAAATCTACAACT